CCTTCGTTTGTGTATGATTCTCCCATCTCATTCTATCCGGACACGATTGTGATTATTGGTAATCATCAGCAGGTTGATATTCATCTGGTCTTGCATTGTTGACAAGTGTCTTCATGATCTGGGTTCATTGCAAACAGTCCAATGTTCTGAAAATGAGGGTCCAGGATCCCCATACCCCCGTTTTCCCTTGGGCAGGCTATTGTCGAACGAGGAATGAAACGGCCGTAGGAGGAATGAAACGGCTTTTAATGACAGTTTAACTCCACTTTCCCCCCATTAAAAGGGCACTGTCTCAGCATTTGGATTCCTTGGAGTGCAGTGCCCCCGGCCCATATATGGCAAATGTACTGGCGGCTTAAGCAAGTCCCCATATAGAAGGCTCCATCTATTGGTGGGGAGGAGCGCCTGCTGGAAATCAGGTCCAGCGCCTCTGTAAAAAAATCCAGTCTGAAGTTACCATTGTGTTACCTAGCTTGGCTTGTTTTGTCTCTCCGTTCCAAGGAGGTAATGGAGCATTTGTAGTCTTTTGTGCCTGGTGCGAACTGCCACCTTCATGGAGGTCTTCTTCTTCAACTTCAAGTCATCAGTGACAAGCATGGGGCCACTGCAGAGTGCCATTCTGAACCCCCTTGTTCTCTTTTGTTTTTTCCAGAAAAACCCAGCGCCTTCTGTTCCCCGGGGCACCAGTCCATTCCCGTTGCTAATCGCCAGAAAGCAGACAACATATTACACAGGACCGCTAGAAAGGAGTACCATCCCGCCTCACCTTAGCTAGCTTTGAGCCTCCTGCCCAGCTTTCCGGCCTTCTAGGAACCATCTGAGAGCTTTGATGTTCGGGCTCCTTCCATCATTCTTCTAGCCTCTTAGTGGGACCCCCCGGCCTTGAGGAAGTGGGACCCCCCGGCCTTGAGGAAGTGGGACCCCCCGGCCTTGAGGAAGTGGGACCCCCTTCCCTTCTCCAGTCTGCTGGGATCATTCTTCTCTCTTTTCAGTGGGACCGCCCGGCCTTGAGTTTGTGAAAAAAAAAAAAAGGGGCAATGGCTCCTGCGTCACACCTAGGGTTTGGAATAATAGGCAACTTGAGAAGTTCTTAAAAAAAACAGGGCAAGAAAAGGGGTCTGCTAAATCTGCATTCACGCCACAAAAAAACGGCCACAGTTTTTGAACCCCCACAGTTTTTGAACTCCTCCGCTAAACTTTTTTTTTTTTTTTTTTTTCTAAACGCCTCCCGGATGATTGAGGTGCTGATAAGAGCAGCCACCACTACCACCCGGGAAGAGGCTCCATCTATTGGTGGGGAGCATCACCTGCTGGAAAGTGGGTCCAGCGTCCCATATACAAATTATGATCCGGAAAACAGTTTGGAGGATCCTTGCCAGCATTGATTACCCTGGAATCCAGGGGATTGACTGAGCAAGGCCATGGAAAAGTTGGAAAAATTAGAAAAGACCTGCCAACTTCATCGGAAATTTCATGAAAATGAGACAAGAAGCTACTAGAAAAGTCTTTTTTTGGGTAAAAAAAGGAATTAAAAGAGGGGGGAACCTCTTCACCCTGACCCGGGTGCCAGATACCTACTGCTATGTCCTAGCTCCTCCCCTCTCTCACCAGTCCCAGTCCCCACCCCCCCCTCCGTACCAATCAATGCCTACTAAAGCCTGCAGAGAGGGAGGAAAAAAATCAACAAAGTCTGCAAGGGGCCTGGTTGGGAATGAGGGGTCTATCTTCGTCCAATCTCGAAAGCTTAGATGGTAGTCTCTTTCCTCGTCTCCTATATCCCTCCCCCCCTTCTTCCTTCCATTCCACTCTACCTTTGCCATCCATACCCCTCAGCTAAACTTGCACATTGGATTTCTGAAACTCAAACAATGACATGGGTGCCACTTCGTATTTTCTTGCCTATTTCAAACTAAAAGGTGAATCAGGAGCAGTTTCCCCCCAAAAGACAAAACAGTCATTTGTCTCCCTTCTTCTCTGACTTCCTCGAATGTGAAGATAGTTTTGTTTGTTCCGGTCACCGCCACTACCTTGGTTTCGTTTTCACACTGTAGGGTACCCAATCTTTTAGGAGGCCGAATAGAAACTACAGCCGCTTCCGCTGATGAGATTTAGGGCGTTATCCGATACTACTTGCGGTCCTTTGGGAGGCCGAAACGAAACTACAGCCGCTTCCGGTGGAGCGTTCCGCTGATGAGATTTACGGCCTGATCCGATACTACTTACCGTAAGTGAAAGTGTGGAAGAAATGAAATACGGCCTGATCCGATACTACTTACCGTAAGTGAAAGTGTGGAAGAAATGAAAGAGGAGGACACTTAGTGGACGGCCCGTAAAAGAATTGAGGGCATACTCACACGAGGACCAAAAGACCCTAAATCCCAAAATTTGAGTCATTTTTCCGGTCACTCTGGAGAGGCTCGCTACCCAAATGCCTCAAAAGGTTACCCTTCTGTCAGCGGCCTGCCGCGGGTGGACCCATTTTGAGAGCACCTCCGGACGTGGTCTCAAATTACCTTTCGTTTTTTTTTTTTCCCTATATGTTCGCGAATTGAAGAGAATTTTAGACGAGGAAGACAGCCCACCAATCAACTGAAAGTTATGTTGTAGCTAAGGCCCACACGTTATTCTGGCGTGAATCTAAAAACTAAAAAAGATTCCATCTTCTTGTTTGGTCCTCCTCTGTGTGACCGGGCGCACTTGCCCCGAGTGCAAAGTGTCAGGGTCTTGACTTCGTCCTTTCTGGACGAGGTCCGCCCGTGTGACCACGCCGGGACCAAATGCCTCAAAAAAACCGAAGCAACTGCCTCAAATTTTTGGGCCGAGTGCAAAGTGTCAGGGTCGCGACTTCGTCCTTTCTGGACGAGGTCCGCCCGTGTGACCACGCCGGGACCAATTGCCTAAAAAAGAACGAACCAAATGCCTCAAATTTTTGAGACTTTTGGTCCCCGTGTGAGTATGCCCTGAGACCCAACTGTTCCTGGAGTCGAGGAGCTTTTATGAGTGTTTACGAGTGTTCTGGTGGTTTTTTGGGGGCGGCCATACCACGACACATCAGGTCCACCAATGGACAACCAAAAAGGAAAGGAAAGTCATGAAAATCAGCCTTTTTTTTTGGGGTAAGGGTATGGGTTGGGAACGTCTACAAAATGCCTCAAATTGTTTCGCCGTCGATGGCTCCCATGACGACACGGCGGCAAATGGTTCCACTTCCCTCCGTTGCTGGCGGAGCCCCCTTCAACTGCGGAAATGGGTGGGGTCCGTGAAAGCACAACTTTTTACTTATCGTAAGCAGTGCAGGATCAGGCCCTTATCATGGGCGGCGGTCTTCGGGGCCCAGCCCTCAAATTTTTAGGACTAGGATATTTTTCCTTCACCGAAAGCCGGAAAGGTACTAATGGTTTAATAAAACACCTCCTTGCAAGTCGTCTATCCTGGGGGCAAGTCCCACTAGCAGTATTGAGTTTCCTCAACGCCTGAATCTGGACTTCTTCATGGAGATACGCATTTGCGGTGTGCTGTTGACGAAAAGCAACTCCATTTCTGCAGGTCTCCACAAACACAACGAGATTCAGGCGTTGAGGAGCTGCCGGGATCCTAGGGGTTGAAGGTTTATCAGACATGAGCGCTGAACAAAAACCACTCATCAGGTTAACTGAGTGTGTAAACTTGCAGACCAAAAAAACTCGTAGGAACAAACTAACACGGGGTGGGGTGTTTACCCTGCGAACAATGCAGCAGAAGGCTTTCAAATAAGAACTGTCATTGTTTTAAGTTCTGTAAAACGTATGAAGGGACGCCGGAGCCGGTTTCCAGCAGGTGCTGCTCCCCGGAGTCCCCACTAATAGATAGAGCCATCCAAAACGACGTGGGCTAATGGAGGATGTTCCCATCACCTCCATCAGCATAAACCACGACAGGGCCCAAGAAGAAAACAAACGGAGAAAACTAGGGCGCGGCCATGGTTTGAGTATCTAAATGCATTTCAAACTGCAGTTTGTAGTTCCAGTCCCGTGGGGAGTTTACTACGTAGTCTAAACTCCGCCGCTTTGCAGAAAAGTCGCACCGCGAAGTTTGGAACTGCAGTTCAGTGAGGCAGGTGGCCGTGTTGTTGTTGGG